GGACGGCGTCCTGAGAAGCAGTCAGTCGCCCGCTGGCATGTGAGAGTGAGATTTTTTGGGAGCTGGGAGCTGGAGATTTACGATGCAGGAGGACAGAGCGTGAAAGCAGTATATCATCATCAGGTTGGGCTGAAAGAAAGAAAACATATCTTCAACAAAAAGCAGGGCTTTGCAATTCAGCTGCGTTGTTAGGACAACGCAAACTATCCTTGAAATGATTAGTTCCACTTCAAAGGCATTTACATTCAACAGGGGCAAAGGCAGCCTCTTTTTATGTCTCCAAAAAGGGGGATTTCGCACTAAGGAGAGTCATATGTTTGCTCCTTCTATTTATTTTTCCTCATTCAGGGAACACTTGTATAAAATAAACAGAAAGATCCACACTCCAGCCCCATCAGGAGCCTGTTTAAAGGCAGGCCGGGCGGGGGAGTCAGGTAGAAAGGCTCTGACATGCAGCCATTTTACAAGAGGGAAATGCTGGGACTCGTTTCTTTTCTTCTTCTTCTTTTTTTATTGGGGGAGTAAAAAGGCAACACTTCAAAAAAGAAAAAAAAAAAGAAGAAAAAACTCCCCCCAAAAACTGACCTCAGGAGCCGTCTCTCCTGGGACATCTGTTATGAACTCAAGGAAGCGTGACGTACGTTCGGGTAGATCGCAAAGGCCGAGAATATCTTGCCACCGTTTGGGGAAAGATTTTAAAACGCCCCCCTCCACCCTTTAACACCACCCTCCAGCCCTACACGCGATATATGGCAAGACGTTGCCCCCCCAGCTAGGCTGCGTGCGGCTTGGTGGCCCCTTGTCTAGCGCTCTCAAACGGGGAAAGAAATATGTATGTGTTTTTAAATGAAGCGGCCTAAAAAAATCCCTTGGCACTAGGGTTAATGTCAGGGTTAGGTCTCTCAAGCATCAGGCCTATTCTGCTCCAGGATACCCTGGAAAGTACAGTCAAGACGCCCCTGGATAAGTAGAAGAAAGATGCTAGGATTAGACCAGAGGACTCTTTCCTGCAAACTCCCGACAACTTTGCGCATCAAAATATAACCTGAGTAGACCCCTTCGTTTCAAGGCACATGGCTTATTTTAGGCCCCGGATTCCCCGTTTGCTTCCCGAACTGGGCAGCCTTGTCAATGCTGGTGTTGAAAATGATTGACATGAGAAACAGAGAATCCCAGGACTGTAGCTCTCAAAATAATTATGTACGGAAAAGGAAGGAATTGCATGGCATTTGAAGTTTCTTGCATCGATAATTAGCACACGTGCGTGTGTGTGTGCATGCACGCGTGCTGTTTTAAGTCTCTGGACAGGCCTCGGCAGCGTGAGAGCAAAGCAGCCAGCTAGTATATATAATTTCTTCTGAGGCTTGGTTGCAACTCCAACTTCAGTAGGCGAAGGGAAGCGAACACGATGGGGCTAGCTTCAGGACTGGGCAACGCTTCTGTCTCCCACAGAAATCTCAAAGCACGTGCACTGAATTACTTTCAGCATTGACGTAGATCAAACAAGCTCTCTTTGAAGTCGCCGTTGCATGAAGGTTGATGTGTAAAATCTTACCGCTTGCTGTTTTTTGGGGTTTTTAAAACTATTTCAGGTGTTTGGGGTAGTCGCAGCTCAGTATTCCTAGCCTCTAAACTGGCTGGTCCTGTCCTGTTTAAAAATTGAGGGCAGGATGTGCCCCCCCACCCCCCTCCCCACTTCATTAATACAGTATATTGTGTCCTGAGACTCTTCATGCAGCTCTTGGAAAGTCCGGGGTTCGTATTTGGACCAGGCTGCCCTTGAAGTGGAGATTTGACAGTGCACACCGATTCTGGCTTTTATTTTTCTACACATCCATGCAACTCATTCCTGATCCTATGACCCCAGCTGACTTCCTGCCCTGGGGTGGGGGGCTGGACTCGATGATCTTCCGAGATCCCTCCAGCCTTAATGTCTACGAAATCTATATAAAAAAATCTCAGGGTGATCACGTTGTCGTTTGTCAGCACAAGGGCGTTTCTTACATTGTGGGTTTTCTCCCTCTCTCTTACAGGCTTTGTTGTCAATGGCTTTCCAGTGGACCCTACCTGGGGAAGACCTGTTCAGATGTGGAAGTGCCAACGTGTCTATTTACCGCCAGAGTCAGCCCCTTTTTAGAAGCTTTGACTACGCCGTTTGCTTCAAAGCCTTGTTCGATGCAAGCATGCCCGCCGCGTGGCTGTTTTAAAGGCATGTGTACTAGCAACCTGGTGAGAATTAGAAGAGGGTCATCCCTAATTTGTTGCTGAGACCCAGGGATTTTTGTCCGTGTTGCTGCATTGCAATGGGTTCTGAATTCGCTCCCATTTCGACTTGCTCAAAGCTGCACCTTTCCAAAAAGTTCCTGAAACGTCGCTCCCTTTAAAGTTTTGATGGTTAAGCAAGACTTGCATGCCAGAAGTCAGCATGCAAGCGTCTCTTGAGGAGGTCCCACTCTTCCTTGCAGGTATTGGTATGTGTGCGGCATCTGTCAGAAAGGCAGCAAGATGAGAGGCACTGCCAGTGGAAAGAAGAGGAATCAAGCCAGCAAGCCTTGGGACACCCAATGCAAGGAACTGGGAGAGAGGGACCAGGTGTCTAACAGAGAAAGGAGGAGATTGGTGTAGAAAAGTCCTCCTATAATAGAGATAACAGAGGAAAGGCAAGGATGGACCATGCTCTGCAAGGAGAGACGGAGACTGTGCTAAGGGCACAGGCCCCCAGAGAGCAAGCCAAGAGAGCTGGGAGTCTGTGGAGCTTTATCCATTTGTGTTATTTTTTATTCCTAAAGTAATCCCTGCCGTCAGAGGAGAAACCCAACACATTTTTATTGAATTCTGTGAAAGTTCATATTGGGGAAAAAAATGTGTTTTTCATTTTTTGACTCTTTTTTTTTTTTTTTATTTCATGAAACACTGGAAACATTAGCGCTTTGGAAATCTCCTACCAGACGTTGGAGCTTTTCACTTTGTTCCTGCCGTAAGACTGTCATTTGAGGAGGAGCTATCAGGAGGCTGAATCTGATGCGTTTCAGCTTAAGCATGATCTTCTGATGTGGAATTTCCTCTGGATCTGAAGTATCACTCGGACAAAAATTCCACCGCCTCGTTCCCAAGATATGAAATGGAAAATAAGAATCAGTGCTTGTGCTTCATCCAGCAAGATCTGGTGTTGCAGAACAGGCAGCCGGTCGACAGAAGGAGCACGCACAGCTTCCATTTTAAGTCAAGCCCTGAGCGAATTCTGCGCCTGCTTACGCTGGTGTAAACCTAGAGAGTGCATAGGAGTTGGTCCGATTTGGCTCCGGTGCCTCCGAATAGGATCGGGCTCTTCAGTGTCAAGTCTCGAGGTCAGAAACTTTTTTTTGTTGTCATTCTCCTTTATAAAGGTCAATGGTTTTGCAGTGGGGTGGAATGAGCAGGCTGGGGCAAACGGGTGCCATGCTAAGGGGTTAAATGCCTGTGCTCTCTTGGTTACTGACTGGGTGATCTGCACTTAACTCGCGTTGGAGTCTCTGCTTACGGCTTCATATCGTCTTGGTGGCTAGTTCCCTTGGGTGCCCTGAGGATGTACTCCGAGGCTGACAGCTCTGCACAATGTCTTTATGCGTTGGGTCTCTGCGTTGCCATCGGGCGCTCGCTCCTCTGGACTGAGCGTTGTAATGGGTTTTGATGCCACCTAACTGCATCCCATGGTCGCCTTCAGCCAGTCTCATGTGCATCTTAATGATGATGTGCAGCCAGGACCACATCTTGGCAAAGGTGAAAAGGTGGGTCTCCAAGGGGTGATGCGGGGAAAGTACTAAAATAAGCACTAGCGTGATTTCCAGGAGGAGATGAATTGCTGAGTGGCCTCCCTTCTAGCTGGTTTGCTGGGATATACTGAGATCAGACTGCCTTGGGTCTTGCAGCCAGTGCAGTGCTTGTATAGGGCTGCTGCCTTGCAGGCCAAGGACTGTCCAGCAAAGAGCTGCTTTGGACCAAGCCAGGATCCATTGGACCCAGAGTATTCTTCCCATGAAAAGGGGAAGTCTGGCAAAAGGAGGTCCATTTCCAGCTGACCCACACCTACTTGTCCGTGCCCATCCATGTCCTCATGTGAGGCAGGACAGGAGCAACTACAACTGGTGGTTGCACAATCAGTTGTGGGTTTGCTCGTGTGTGTTTGGCAACTGTTGATCCTTCCAGATCATGGTGTACGCGTGAGAGGTCACCCAGACCTTTGATGCAGGAGTTTTTGGAGGAGCGGAGGCTGCCCAGACCTCCCATCCCCCCCATTTAGGCCACTGAGACAAAGGCCATGTTGGGTCCAGATGTTTGGTGCCTCCACAGCTGTATTTCTGCACAAGCATCCAGGAACTGAACCCGGGTCTCCTGTGTGGCAGACAAGGATTCAACCACTGAATTGTGTGTGCACGTGTATGCAAAAAACAAGGATGTGGGCATCAGTACGGACTGGAAAGAGGCTGCAAAGAGAGCCCTGGGCTCGGGCGGTCGCACGGGTTGCGCTCCATTAGCTGGGGAGACAAAGTGACAGAAGTGGGATGTGTGGGATCCCGGACTTTGTGGGGCAGCCACCGGAGCCCCATAGCACAGCACGAGGCGAGGCGTGCTGCCCCGGGGACACCCCACCGCAGAGGCGTGAGATGTGCTGGTATTCTTGTAAGGGGCA